TGCAATAAAAGGAGGTATGCCTGTAGGTTTTCTCAGAAGGTGGTGAAGCTCCTAGTAATTGAAGATAGGCAAAAACCATGTGGTACCATTTGTCATTTTTTCTATTCATGGAAATTTATTTTTAAATGAAAAGAGAAAATGTTGTTAGTAAGAAGGAAAGAGGTGGATGTAAAGTGATTCAAATTTCTGGGGGGCAATTTCGCAATGCCCAGCAAGGGCTGGGGCTTGGTCCCAGGCTGTCCTCGCTCTAGCCAGGTCTCTAAACAAAAGAGAATGGCGAGTAACAGTGAGCAAGACTCATATTTTATACAAAAGAGACCTCAAGATATTCACAATATACTGTTACTTGGAGGAAAAAGAGAATGTTATAAAACTGATGGCAAGTATAATCTGTTTTATAATTTTGTATGCTCATAGAAAAAAACTGTAGTACATAAGCAACTAGAGTATGTGTTTATTTCTGGGTTATGAAATCTTGGATTATTTTTATTTTCTCCTTTTTATTTACTTGTATTTTCTAAATTTTCTACATCAGACATGTATTACTATTATACCAAGAAAATTCAAAGGTTATTATAAAAAGTTAAATCCTCTATAAAAGAGAAAGTCAAGACCTACTGCTGATTTCCAGTGATGGTTGATTAATAAGACTCCCTTTACCAATTAAAATGTTAGCCTCCCCCCATCCGCCCCCCCTTCCCCGCAACCTAGCTTTATTATTAAGATCATGGCATCCAGCCTTCAGATTTTCCGAATCCTCCAGGCTTCCACATAAAGGAAGTTCTAACTGAAGCAAGTACAGGGGTAAATAAAGGCATGTCTGTATGACATTTCCACTAGTCTAACAAATGAAAAGGTATGAATGGCTGAGAGCTACAAATTCTGGGAAGTAAAAATGACTCAGAATCCTAGAACACTGCAAAGGCATCTCACCTTGTAACTTTAATTCCATGACGTAATTCCTAGGAAAAGTCAACCCATGACCTGATTCAGCCTTTCCTTACTTTTGGTGATGGAGCACTGACCACCTCATAAGACAACCAGCTCAATTTTTTACATCCTAGAATCTTTAGATACTTCCTTCTACTGAGTTGAAACTGCCTCATCACATTCTACCTAGCTGTAGGTCTGCCCTACAAAGTCAGTAGAGAAAGTCTATTTCCTTTTACATATTAGACAATTTCAAGTAATTTATGTATTATATATGCAATATAAAAGTAAAAGTACTTTTAGCTATAAAAGTACTGTACACATAAAACTTAATATTCATTACCTTTATGATTTCAAACCAATCTTTATTTATAGACTGAGCTACCATTCTCTGTTCTTTGAGCAGTCTTTATTTTTATTAATTTAAATTTAATAAAAATACATGCACTTGATCAAAACTCAAACAACACATGAGTTTAAACTGAAAAGTCTTCCTATCCCAGCCCTAAGAACTCTTGTTTCCTTGCAGCAATTTTCTATGCATAATTAAGCATACATATGCATACATTTTTAAAAGGAAAATATAACTATATTACTGTATATTTAAGCACCTTGCTTTTGCTACCTGACCTATTTGGAAGTCTTTCCATATTGGCACATACAGCTGTTTCATATTATACATTTAGATTATTTAGTCTTTGCTATTACAAATATTTCAGCAATGAACATTCTTACATAACTGTCCAAGTACTTGTAAGATAAATTCCTAGAAATGAAATTGCTAGATCAACAGGTATATAAATGATAAATGGTTTTTTGTTTGTTTGTTTGTTTTTAGATAAGCCATCCTGCCTGTTGGCAGCTCAGCGGCAGCTCAGCTCAGGCAGGGACTCGAACTGCTGTTGCTCAGAGCTCACTCTTGAGCGAGCTCTTAACCAACTGAGCCACTCGGACAGCCCTTTATAAATGATAAATGTTGATATATTGTCACATTGCCCTACAAAGATGCTTCAGAAGTTTAAAACTTGATTAACAGCATGTGAGAGTGCTTATTTCCCAGTCTCTCATCATCTTTGGATATTAAAGTTTTTTATGAATTTGCCAATATTTATAATTATGATGAGACTAAACAATTTTCATGTTTATTAGCACTTGTATTTCTTATTTCTGAACTTCCTGTTCATAAACTTCGCCCATTATTTAATTGGGTAGGTTAGATGTCTGCCAGCAGTAACTGGGGTTTATAATTCTGTTTACATTTAGACAGGACAGATGAACACTATATAATACAGGATTCTGGTCCTTTCATCCCACTTCAACCCTTTCTAAGTAGGCAAACCTACCCCATCTTTCCCCCTTTGCTTTGTACTAAGTTGATTCAATAACTCAGCAACAAGAGTATCTGAATTTCATCTGTGGTGAGCCTTGGTGTACTCTCACCATAGCTCCTGCCTGGACAATGGGATGGATATATGTAAGGTATGGGATGGTACAGGTGGTAAGGCTATAGGAGTGGAGATGGCCAAGTTAGGTACAAAGGCTACAAGGCCCACATACCCTTGGAATTGCTGCCAACACCAGCAAGACTTGGGGCTAAGTCAGGATGGGTGAACCACTGGGTCCTGATTATACCAAGAGAACTGAGCCACAAATTCACCAGTCAGATTTGATACCTGAACTTACCCACAAATCAGAACATCCAGAGTATAAGGACCTGCACACATGCCTTCTAGGACCCCTCATCTTCACCCACTAGAATATGCTAACTCTTCACTCTCACCTACCTCTCCCCAAAAAGCCCAGATGCCACCTGGACAGAACAGCAGGAGGGGCAGGGAACCTGCAAGACTCAAGATTCACCTGAGAGAGCTTCAGTCATCCAAAAGTGACAGTTTAAAACTGGAAGAGACTAGGGTAACATTAATTGGCAAGTATGGTTTCCTGTTCTGCCTGGTGGTGATTTACTGAGAAGATATTTTATAGTAAAGAACCTACCTCTTCTTTGTACATATGAGTAGCAATATAAGTAAATTTGTCAGCCAGCTACAGTTTTACTAGTAATAACAGCACTACCAATATGGGAATGAGGAAAACAAAAGAAATGAGGAAGAGAAAGTTGTTTAGTCAATGGACATAGGAACTGAATATCTTTAAACCAGTCTCAGTCTGTGTTCTATTTCAATAATCTTTAAGCATATTCTCTCTCTCTCCCCCCAAATATCTGGTACTCTTATTATTTTGTCTAAAGACTATCTTCAGTAGTATACCTGAGCAGCTAATACACATAAGATAGGTCTACTAAGCAGAGAAGTTCCAAACTAAAAAAAAAAAAAAAAAAAATAGTGTATCAACCCATATGCATGCATTTATAGGTGACTTAGTTCTCACCTTCCTGCTATACACATTAAAAAAAACAAACTTTTTTTGTTCTCCAAAGCTATCTTTTCCCAGAAATATGATGTTGCAATTCCTAAAACTGTAAATAATTCCTCCTACAGTAAAACTGGGGACAATCATATCAATCCTATCAGAGTGAATAATCTCTTAAACAGTATGATTTTTATGTCAGCCTTAAATGAAATTTTGTACAAGCTTTGGCTATAAATGAAGATGGATTTCATACATGGGTAAGTCTGCATTTCAGTCAAGATCAGATCAATGTATTCAGGAGGGCAAGAAGTGAGGGAGCTAATCAGACAATCAGAGTTGGCTGCAAATCTCATGACAAATACTTCCTTCTGCTGCCTCTCTCTTCACATTTCTAATTCTTCAGTATCTTTTAATAAAGCTGGAAAAAATGCAGGCCTGCATCTGCAGTAAAATGAAAGCTCAGTGTTTCACACACAGAAAAAAAAAATCAGATTTTCAAAGAAACTGGAGTAATAAAAAGATAACCAGTTGGATACCTGGACGCTAACATCCTCAGGGTTAAAAGCAAAAGACAGACAGGCAGACTGGCACACAGGGTGCTAAAAAGTTCTGAGCATGGAAATGAGGGCGTCCCTCTGCAGTTTTACTAAGAAAATTCAATCTGTGGGGCTGGTACACCATCTGGTGACCATTTGAGGCCTACGTGTCAAAAACTGCCCAGATATTTCTGGGTATTTTAGGATGCCATCACAACCTATAACAAATTGCAGGTCTTTCTGAAACTTTAAAAAAAAAAATAAAAAAAAGGATCTGACCTAAATGTGATAAAACACAAGTGAGCAGTTAAGGTACAAGAAAGAGTAAGCTATTCCTCATTTAGTACCTCTAAGGACAAACAAAATACCCCATTGGAATACACTACCAACTTGAAAATAAATATGCATGATATACTTATCCATTTTCTCTACATTAAAATTTTTAATTACAGAATTCTGTAAATTATAATTGACCATACTTGGTTACTACCAAAGGTTATGTACAAGCACCAATAGAACTGCTTTGAAATTCATGAATTTCAGCCATAGACATATACACATTTTATTCCCAAGGATTTTATGTCAATGTTATTTGTTGATACTACTGTATTATAACAACCAAAAGTTTCTACAGTTGATTAAGGATTCACAAACACTTATCAACCAAGCTTTTTCACCATCACTTCCAGCAAGCATGCTGACACAGAAATTCCAGAACTACTAAATGAAAACAAGAATATGAATAGAAAGATGCCATACACATACTCAGAAGGAAAAAAAAAATCAATGTTTAATTCTTTCTCAATCTAGCCACAAGATTTTTCCAATAACTACAAGTGAGCACTCATACTTAACTCTTTCAGAACAAGGCAGTCTAAAAGGCTTGTGAGTGCTGTACGCTAAATCAAGTTGACCTAACTGAATAAACCCAGCATGCATCTTCCTTCACTGTTTATTTTCAAAAGGAAAGTGGACAGAAATGCTGAATGCCTAAAATACTGCTTAATGTTCATTTGAATAGACAGGAACTTAACACATCTTCCCCCACCTCCTAGGCAGGAAAAACAGTCACACAAACATCTCTTCCAAAGCAGGAGGGCCGCGGCGGCCTTCCAGAGCTCCGGCAGTGTCTGCAGACGACAGGGGCGGCCTGTATATACTCACACAGATGGCGAGAGCTCCTGCTCCCATCCTCGCAGGAAGTGTCTGGTAGAACTGATGAAGACCAGATGAAAACACCCAAAGGACAGCAAAACGCTGAAATTCAATTCAAGAAATGCTTTGATTTGAAAACCAGCTCCGGATCCCACGTCCCCACAGTACGGGAAAAGCAGCGCCTAACATTTTCGGAAGTGTGGTTTGCTTCTCCATCGGCTAAACCCACATGGCTGGGAGGGCTGCCTGGCGTTGAAATTTGATCCACAAAGTCGAGTATTGGCGAGGAGTGGGGAGTCATGTGACGCGGGTCTGAAGTCGCTGACATCTTTTTCTTAAACCTGACCTGCTGGATGCCACACACTGGCTGCTTTCCTTCAGAAAGCGCTGCTCATCTGGTGGTATTCATTAATAGAACTAGTGGTGCGGAAAGAGAAAGCACCAACTTGCTTTCTTGTCGCTACTCGAAGAAACATTCACATGTTTACACTCAGGTTTAAATCTGCAGGCATATTCTTCACTTTTCCAAGGCAGTTTTCACTTCTTTTTGCCTCCTAAAAACCAGCTGACATCTATCAAAATTTTCTTCCCTCCAGTCTTATTCTATCAGAATTGTTCTAAGTGAAAATGCTCTATTTTATGTAGTTGTGAACTTACTACTTCTAATTACTTTCCAATAATCGTATTCACATATACTGGTGATAAGCATAAAACAACATGCTTCTAGACATCCATAACTCTACATATGTGATCGACAGCCTGGAAAATTAGCCTCTTTCAATAACTTCCTACTCCATATGCTGTGAAACTAGAAAATCTGACAGATTTTACAAATTGTAAATGTTTGAACTGATAGCTAAACTATCCATTTCATATAAACCAGAGAGAATCTGTCCTTTTTTATTTTTTGATTACCACTTTTCTGTCAAATATTTTTCGCTGTCACACTTGAGACTATGCTAATATTACAGGTGAAGTGTCACTTGACCCAACTTTAAAAGACTCAAATTGCCCAAATAATAAAGACATTATAAAGTTATATTTTAAGGGGAGGAGGTGGGAAGAAAAGGGAAAACCAAAATCAGCTCCCATTTCAATACTTTCCTTCAAATCTAATATTCCTTGTGGATCTATGGCCAACACCACCCTCAGCAGAGCCAAGATAGCAACTCACGTAGAGCAAGCACAGGACAATGAGTACAGTTGTTTTTATTTCTACATGTGCACACAAAACACTGCACAGACTCTGCTTCCATAGGCAGAATAACACAATCCCAAGACCATACAGGGAATCAGGCTGGGAGAATGGACACAATCTTCTCCACTAAGAAAAATTTTTTTCTACTTCCACCTTAATTTAGGTTTCATCACTTCTGTTTCCCATTCTCCCATTAGATAACAGGGCTGATTACTAAAGAAAATTGTCATAAAACAAACTTTTCTTAAGACTTTAAAAATGTGATCTTCTTTTTCTGATTACATTAGTATTGCTGGTTCATGATGCAAAAGAAAAGCCTAAAAACCTAGAGGCCCATCACCCAACATCACCCGATCAATATTTATTACCTACACTGGGCCAGGCGTTATGTTCTACAATGTACAGAAAATGATATGAAAGACATAGTACTTTCTCTCACGGATCATCCGGTAGAAAGAGGGAGGAATAAATAGGTAAATAAACCTTCTGACTAGTAAATGCAGAGGTGCTAATAAAGAGGCAATGATGAAGTAGTGAAAGAAAATAATAGGNAACTGGGGACAGAGTGACCCCAGTAGGCTGGAAGAGGAGGGGAAGAGCCAAGGCTCCTGCCACCTGGTTGATTACATGGCCGGCAGTAAATGTCAGCTCTTTTCCCTTACAGGCAAGGATCATATCAGAGAAAAGTGTTTCCACGCTTCTTACAAGGTGGCAAACTTTAAAAAGTGAAATCAAACTAGCATGAAGTGGTATTTATGCAAAATAGTCAACCAAGACTGCAAAACCTGGTATATATGATAAGGGGGTAAGGGAAGATTTACCCTTCAGGAAAAGCAGGCATTTGTCAAAACCACATGTAACTTCACAGCTTAACAAGACGATCAAAGATTTTCCATCGTGCCTAATAGAAGAAGGCTCTGATTTTGAGGAAGGCAATTGAACAGTTCGGGCGGGGGAGTTAGTTAGAAGGCTTTGAATCAGCATCTTCTCTGCAGTATGAATTCTTAGGTCAGTTCCCTTTGAAACATTCTAGCAACAACATGGCCTTTGCAAATAAATGACGAATTATTACGCTACTTTGTGTTAATGAAAAAGGTTAGACATTTATGTTCAGATACTAGAGAAAATTAACTTAAACTTTTCCATTTTTCAAGGTATTATACAAAAAAGAGCAAGAAAATGCTAAACACAGTTTCTCGGTAAACAGGTGCTGCAGGACCAAGGTGCAGCCGCTCCCCTCTTCCAGGAAGACTCACTGGACCCAATAGGAAACCGAGTCCGGGAGGTGGGTAAAGGCCCGGTTCATCACAGCGGTTATTAGCGTACAGATGCCGGCACTTGCTCCATTCAGAATGCCAAATAGAAACATACAGTATCTCCGTTTGAAACAAGTCCACCTGCAATTTCCTTATTACTATTGAGAAGCAGACGTAGTAAAGGGGTGGCAAGAAATTCACGAGGGAGCCCCCACAGGCTTACGCGTCTCCCAGGTACAGTCAGTTTTGCACAGCGTCGGCTTCTACAGAGACTGTGACTTTCACCTTCGAGCGTCCCACTAGAGAGCGGAGACCCACACCTAGCCAGACCGTTCCCGCTACGCCCCAGCCACCCAGGACTTGCTCGGGTGGGTGGTGCACAGTGTAAGCCCCAGTTCCTCTCCTGAACCCCTTTGCACACGAGGAGCCAGCCTCCCTTACCCTCGGCCAGCAGCCGAGTCCACTCCCTCCTACCGTGGCTCAAGATCCTTGCTCCCTCGTCCCGTCCCGGCGGGCGGGCGCTGAGAGGCGCAGGCGCCAGGGCCGCTATTTGTAAACACGCTCCACGTGCGCTCTCCCTACTCATTTGCATGCTGCTCCCAGCATCTGAGGATGCCTAGCTTTTTCGCGAGCCCTCAGAGGGTGCGATTTTTATTCTCCCTGAGTGTAGACTAAGCCTCGCCCGCAGAGCCAGGGAGGGCAAAAACAGGGTGAGTTTGTACCGTCCNACTTAAGAAGGGTGTAGGTGTGAGAAGAAAAACTCCCTCCCAAAAGAATACATTATGAGGGAGGAATCTGAAATTCAAAATGGTGGTCAAGGTACAAAGATTTCAAACTTTAGTATATGAGACTCACTTGGGATGCTCACTGAAAATAGATTCCTGTGCTTCATCCCTGGAGTGTACTCCAGAATCTATATGTTGGACCCCAGGTAATTCTGACCCATAAAGTCTAAGGAGCAACCTTGTGAAATGCGGCTTTTTGGAAAAACTATAAGTTGAAGGATCTACAGATTAACAGAGGATGGAGAGGACTTTCCAGGCTAAAGGAAAAGCTTAAAGCTGTATGTGCTGGGGACTGGGAGAGTGAGTGTTCTGATGCACAGTGAGCTCTCAGGAAACTTGAGTCAACCAAACTATGGAACTGAGGGCTCCTCTAGAGAATAGTTGGAAACTGGTTGGGTTTGGAAAAGTAAGGTAGGTATATAAATGTCACTCAAGTTTCCCACCCACCTTGCTGACATCAATCAGCAATTCACTGGTTTCTTCAATTTTTTTAAATTAAATTTACTGGGGGGTGACAATGGTTACTAAAATTACGTAGGTTTCAAGTGTACACTTCTGTAATACATCATTTATATATCACACTGTGTGTTCACCACCCAGAATCAGTTCTCTTTCCATCACCATATATTTGACCCCCTTTACTCTCTTCTACCACCAAAAATTGGTTTCTTCAGTTTTTATCCACTTGTTTTTCAGGAACCAAGTCTAACTTTTCCTTAAACATTTCCACCAGTAATTTTCATTTTTATGACCCTATTAAATCTTTTCTACTCTCTTAGGAACTCATTTATCTTTGCATATGCTGCCAGTCAATTAAAAACCAAACACCAGCCATCAAGGAAACACAGAAACAAAAAGTAAATGTAAAGGTCTCCTACTGGGCATCAATATGACTCAAGAGTATAAGAAATCACTATCTTCCCATATCATGTTAACTGTTTAAAAAAGATATGGGATTTTCCAATGAGTAATGTGGTCTTTTACTTGTGTCCATAAATTTTCCAGTGGAAAAGTGTTCCTAACTTTAATCATCTTAAAAGAAATTTTTTATATTAAAAATGAATAATTGGGGCTTTTGTATACAATACAAAATAAAATAACTTTATGGCTAAGAGGCTTCAAAGAACTAGCTTTCATTTTGCTGATGACAACTGTTTCACATCCTGATTGCTCTAAAACACACACACATACACACATCCCAAAAGAAAAATAAATGATATTTTAGTTGGAAAATGCCCCTCAATATTTTACATCCCTTAAAGTAGATGACAGTAAATTGTTGTTGTAAAAACCACTGATTTTCAAGTAAATGTAACCCAAAAAGAAAACAACAAAAACGCAATTCCTTTAAAATTAAGAATTTACCAAGAGTTGTCCTATTCCATTACAAAACTATTGTGCATAAAGACTAATACTGAAAGTGAGGCCACATAATGTATTTCTATTGATATTATCTCAGCAGAAAGGGCTGAGCTTATAATGGGGAGAAACATAAGTTACTTTCAGTTGATTGGGTGTAGCTTTCAGAAAACCTACATTTCAATGAACCAGATGGTAAGTCTGGTAAATACTGTTGCAAACTTAATGTGCTTTCTCACTCCTAGAATGCCTTTTTTGGTAAGTTACTGTCAAAATTCCATTTTATAAGTGGCAATTTTAGTTATGCAGAAATAACATTTTTTCTTCTTTTCATGTCTTTGAGTTACATACTTCAATTGTGATAGTGCTTTAAAGCCTGATAGACCTGGCTCAAATCTCATTCTGCCACCTATGTTTTATAATTCATGTACTTTTTTAGCCTTTGTTTTCTTGTACATAAAATAGGAGTAACATCTACCTCGTAGTATTGTTGTAAGCATTATTACAAGAAGCGATTGTATATATGGAGAAGAAAAGAAATACTGGTGGGTTACACCTGAAACTAATAAAAATAAATAAATAAAGGCCTAGCATTAGACTTNGACTAGGGGCAGCCGGTTAGCTCAGGTGGTTAGAGCACAGGCTCATAACACCAAGGT